AGCTGTACCTTCCTGCAGAAGATCAACTGCCCTGCTGTCCCACCCCAAATCTCAGCCTGAGGTATATTCAGTGAAGGCAGGTAGCTGGGCTTCTCAGAGCAGAGAAGCAGTTAAGAGCAGAAAGGTAGAGGAAATCTAGAAAAGAATCGTCTTGATACAGATTTATCCCATGGTGTGAAGGGAGAGGGCAAAGAACCCACTGGCACTTGGCTTATCCAGCAATTTCTGTCACTGTGGTGACCAACTTTTGCCCATTCCATAAGGTCTTGAACTGCTCAGGGACTGGGAATTCATTCTGTAAAGAGAGAATAGGATGAAATCTGGGCTACAGAATGTACTAGCTCTACATTTCACACTTCCACTTAGTACTAAGAGCATAGTAGGTTGAAGCAATACAAACAACCCACCCCATCCTGCTGTTGTACTGTTCTCTATTAAGTGATTTCAGATAAGACTGTTAGAAGAATACACATGGCTTTAGAATACCAGTTTGACAGAGTGCTAGGACTCTTCCTTTGCTATCCTGAGCTCAACCTAAGAAACCCTTTAGCACATCACAAGACTGGATTACTTTGCTTTTTTTCTGTGTGCTGCTGCTTTTTTGGTGTGGAGTTTTAGGTTTACCTACTCATTGCAAACTGCCCATTGTAAGATGCTTCTATGTAGCTCAGGCTTGTTTTAAACTTCAAATCCTACTGCCTTTGCCTTCCAAATATTAGGATTACAGGCACTTGTCTAGCTAATCCCTTGTTTTTAACAAAAGAAACAACTTACAAAGTCACCGCCTTCTGTAGGAATGAGAACATTCATCTCAGAAGATTTGGCACTGACTATCTCACAATCCAGAGAACTCTTGCTCAGGTAAGCATGGCAGCCATCTGTTTTGTTAATGGAAATGGTTGGCACTTTACCCATTACCTGCAGAGAAAACCAAAAGAACTAAGTAAGTCCCAGCAGGTGGGAGAAGAAGTTGCTGGAGACTCCAGCTTTCATTGTTTCACAAAATCCTATAACTACATGAGAACCTCCAGATGTACAACAGACATTAGATCCCAGGGGCAGGCAGGGATCAGTGTTGGAAGAGCCTCCTTTAAGAGCCAGCTCCTTTTCTGCCACAAAGTAGCCTAGCTCCTAAGATCAGATTGCTACTAAGCAACATCTGTGGGTCTACTGTAACTCTTTCAATGAATTTCCTCAGGGACCAAAGAAGGGGCCAAGATATAAAGTTACCTGAACTTTGACATCTCTACTATTGATTATCTCCACAATGCCCACCACATCATCGAATACCAGACCAAGTTTCTTACAGTTATCTAGAAAAAAAGTAAGCAAATTGACAGCATAACTTTAAAATAATATATACTTAAGAAATCTTTAGGAAGAGAGAGGATAGGCAAAATGGTTCCAGCCCATTCAGGCTCTTGAACAGAACTTGCCTAAGACAGTGATAAAAACTCACCTACTGTAATGGAGTTAATCTTGCCCTTGATTTGCAATGTTGTGTTGACACACTTGTATATGTAAACCACCTGCTTCAGCTCTGTGTCATCAATTACCAGGTTGGAAACATTCTCCTGATTTTCCTGTTAAAGAGATAAACCCTTACCATGAAAAACATGAAGACAAAAGTTATCCCAAACCTTTATTTTTGCACTGTGAACCACAGCTCTGCGCTCATTTGGTTGAACTCTCTTTGATCCCTTGTCCCCACCCCACTCCAGGTATTTTCAACTCACCACTCTCCATTTCTTGCCCTCCAATTCAAGTAGAGCTGGCTCCTTCTTTGTGGCTGGTTTGGGAGATGGGCTGGTTTGGGGTTTAGGTGCAGAGAATGGTTTGGGACCACTGCGTACTGGGCCACTCTGAGCTTTCAGGGCAGGGTTCTTGTGAGTCTTCATATCATCAGATACATGCTTCAGGGCTGTAAGAACAACAACTACCTTGCTCCTGTCCTTCATACAAAAGCTTTAAGCTGAGGCAACAACCAGCTCCTGTAAGCACTGATCCTTAGCAGAAAATTCAAACCAAGAACACGAGCAAGCAGTTTTGGATACTTTATCATTTCACTTGTTCCCCTAGATTAAATTACATAGCTCTGTTAAAAAAATATAAAAAAATGGGTATGTTGGAGATAGAGAGAAAGGTAATGCACAGAAAAAGATCTAAAAAGATATATACCAAATATGTACTCACAAAATCTGTATGCAGTTTTTAAAGTAATCAAGGAAGAAAAATATATGGTAAATAATGAAAATTTGGGAGAAGTAGCTTCACCTACAATCAACCCTCCTTCCCTTTCCCAAGTACTGACATTTGAAAATCTGTATTTTTTCCCCCTAGTAACTAGGATAATGAAATTTTTAAATTTATTTTTGGGTGCAATCCTGAGGCTTGAACTCAGGACCTGGGCTCTGTCCCTGAGCTTTTTTGCTCAGGGCTAGCTAGCACTCTACCACTTGGGCAGCAGCTCTACTTCTGACTATTTGGTGGTTAATGGAAGTCTTTAGAGTCTTACGGACTTTCCTGCCCAGGCTGGCTTAGAACCATGATCCTTATAACTCAGCCTTCTGAGTAGCTAGGATTACAGGTGTCACCAGTGCCCAACTAGTTTGGGAAAAAAAAAAAAAACCCAAACTGGCTTACATTAGTTATACAGGGGGGATTTCATTGTTATATCTCCATATCCTGTATTTCTATTCAGTGTGCGTGTGCGTGCCTGCGTGTGTGTGTGTGTGTGTGTGTGGACACACTGTTAACAAATTCGGCCCAACCAGTTATCAACTAAACTACTTCATGTTTTCCAACAATTTATAACTATGTTCTTTCTTTTCCATTGTCCAAGGCTCAGAACTCTATCTGATGCTTGCTTTCACTCAGTGGATGATGCTCTACAACCTGAGCCACACCAACACCACCCCCCCCTTATTTTTTTTGCCAGTCCTGGGTCTTGAATTCAGTGCCTGAGCACTATCCCTGAGCTTCTTTTGCTCAAGGCTAGCACTCTACTACTTGAGCTACCGTACTTCTGGATTTTTCTATTTATGTGATACTGAGGAATCAAACTCAGGGCTTCATGCATGCTAGGCAAGCACTCTACCACTAAATCACATTCCCAGCCCTCTTTTTCTTTTTTTCCAGGAAAAGATTCCATTACCACCTTTAGCAGACTGGCACAATCTATGTTGACCTATTTTTTTTCTTTTTTGTGCTGGCCCTGGGGCTTGAACTCAAGGCCTAGATGCTGAGCACATTGACCAGTTCCCCCTTACCCCCCAATGTATATGTACTAGTACTGGGGCTTAAATTTAGGACCCTGAACTCTCATTCAGCCTTTTTGTTCAAGACTGATGCTCTATCACTTGAGCCACACCTCCACTTCTGGCTTTTTGCTTATGAATTGGAGAAACCAGGGATTATCTGCCCAGGCTGGCTTTGATGATCATCAGATTTCAGCCTTTTTGGTAGCTAGCATGAGCCACCAGAGCCCAGATATATGTTGTCTATTGGTACCAAATCACCTTTTTACTTTTTAACTCTACCACTGCTGATTGGTGGTTGTTTATTTTATCCCCCTCTCCCTGCCCCCGGGGTGAGGGAGGGGATTTGATTGAGAGATGATTTTACTGAGATTTCTATTGGTAAGGACAATGACATATAACTTCTTCAGCTGGGTTGGCTCTACTCAGTCATTGTTACTAGTGGGTATGGTTTACTAAATTTTTTCTTTACACACTAATGGAGGGACAAAGGGTGAACAAGTGCAACAGTACTCACAAATCACCATGTTGGAAATGCATTAACTTTTGGGTGAGGATGAGAGGGAAAAACTCAGAGAGAGTGAGGGAAGAGTTGACATTGTCCAAAAAGAAATGTACTCTTTACCTGACTGATGTAATTTTAACTTTTTTTTTTTTTTTAAAGGTCCAGTTGTGGGGCCTGAACTCTGGGCATGAGTGCTGCCCCTCAGCTCTTCAGCTCAAGGCTAGTGCTCTACAACTTAAGCCATAGCGCCACTTCGGGCTTTTTTCTTATGTGGTGCTGAGGAATCGAACCCAGGGCCTCAGGCATGCAAGGCAAGTGCTCTACCACTGAGCCACCTTCCCAGCCCCCCCATTTTAATCCAGGCAAATGACACCTCAAATAAATCTTCCCACGTGCCCACCACAGTTCTGGTTCTTAGAATGCTGTTGTGTCTGAATGGTGAGGTCTAGTCCAAACAATTTGCTGAACCAACTGTTCACATCACAGTACTTACCATGTGTGATGCTCTCCCCCTGATTTATCTGCGCAAACAGTGCTGAGCGGGAGGCAGAGTCATCAGAGCCTGAACTGGTAGGAACAGGTGGGGGAGGTGGGCCTGGTGGAGGGGGAGGGGGACCTGATCCAACAGAGGGTCCAGATGGCAATCCACTCAGTTCTTTTGCCACGGGCCCCTGGAACAACAAGTTTAAGTAAAACAGTTACCGTCTCCACCCCTCTCTATCATTCCCAGTGGGATGTCCAACATACATGAAGTCCCTCCATAGCTCTTGAGGTAATGGTTAATGCTCCCTCACCAAACCCAACATGGCTTTAATTCCTTCTCATTCTCTTTCAAGGATCCAACTCAGACCTTCACATTTTCCTTCCATTTCTCATTGTAGATCTAAGCTCCTATTTCTAAACAGCTACTTTTCATCACCCTTGGTGTGTTACAAGGGCCTCAGAATCAACAAGTTGGAAGTTGATCTCATCATCTCTTGCCCACTCCTCATCTTGTAACAATTTTACCATCCAAATTTGACTATTTAATCTTCTTTAAAGCTTCCCACTTCCTTGGCCTTCAGGAATCTATTATCTTGGTGTAAGTGCTTTTCTATCAGTCCCTAGTATCATGACAATGGTCATGGTCTGAGCATGAGAACTTACTCTGAACCTATGCATAGACACAGATCTGGCCATTATAATATCCTTAATTAAAAGACTTAGTCTAAAAATCTCAGCATATCTTCCTTCCAGACTTTTCTCCTAAAAATCTCTGACCACTTCCCCTTATTGAAGCCGTTGAAGGGCACTATCTACATTTACACTGCATGTACTTTGTTAGGATCTTGTTCTTAACATCTCATTTCTCCCATGTCTCATCATCCTGTACTCATCTCTCTCATCATCCGTTCAAGCCGGTCCAGTTCGGAGTATACCTTTCCAAAGTATAAATTCTTCCCATGACACTCACTCTTCTTCCTCACACTTGAAGGAATGTCTTTTTTTTTTTTTTGGTTAGTCATGGAGTTTGAACTCAGAGTCTGGGCACTGTCCCTGAGCTGTTTTGTTCAAGGGTAGCCATAGTTTTGTTCAAGGGTAGCCATAGTAGTGTTGTGGCTCATGTGGTAGAGTGCTAGTCTTGAGCAAAAGAATCTCAGAGATAGTGCCCAGGGCTTGAGTTCAAGACCCAGGACTGGCAAAAATCTCAGACTTTCCTGCCTAGGCTGGTTTTGAACTTTGATTCTCAGATGTCAGCCTCCTGAGTAGCTTAGGATTACAGACATGAGCCAATGGCACCTGGCAACAGGGGAGTATATCTTTATTATAGCATTCAGCTTGGTGATTTGTACTGGAATTTGTATCCGTATTTTCGAGAACTAGTGTAGTGTGATTCATCTGTGTGTCTTCCCTCCATCAATCCTTGACCTTTGTTTTTGATTTTTGTCCCAGAACTGGAGCTCAAACTAAGGATCTTAAGCTCTTGTTTAACTTTTTCACTTAAGACTGACTACCATTTGAGCCATGCCTCCTCTACTTCCAGATTTTTGTTGGTTAACTGGAGATCAAGAGTCTAACAGACTTTCCTGCCTGGGTTTGCTTTGAACTACAATTCTCAGATCTCAGCCTCCTGAGTAGTTAAGATTATAAGCACTTAGCTCATAACTTTTATTTTTAAAAATTGAATATAACTCAAGTCTCTGACCCTAGGTTTCTGTATTCTCTTCTCTTTTTCCCTTTTACTTCTAACCTACCAATAAATAACTAGCATTCTTTTTCAGGCCTTGGTAATTGTGAAGTCTAAGAAACTTGTGGATAATATTTTGGAGAGATAAAGAGAGAAACGAAAGACTCACTAACCGTTTTGTTCCAGGCCAATCCAGTGGTATGGAACTCCTTGATATATGCCTGCAGCTCTGTCCATATACTCAAGTAGGCTTTGACCCAGTCCACATGTTTCTTATCCCTGAGAAGATTAAGCAACTTGTTAAGAGGCAGTCAGGCTACATTATAGTAATACTTCCAGAACCTCTCTTGTTTGTGGACTCAGATCTCCCTGTTGATGGCATTTCTTAGGCTCTGCTCAATAGCAGTTGTTCTATTATCACTGGGCTTCAAACAAAACACACACACAAAAAAATCTATTATTCTAATTAGACCAAACTCTTTTAGGACAGGAAAACAATTATATCTCCTTGTATCTCATATCATCAGTGTTTCCCAAACTTTTTTGGTACCTTGATTGTCCTACCTACCATCACCTATATATCTGGGATTACAGATACCTATCAACAGACTTGGCTTATTTGTTGAGAAGGGTCATATGGTAACTTTTACCCAGGCTTCCTGGAGCCATGATCCTTCCCATCTCTACCTCCTCAGTAGCTGAGATTACAGGGCATGGACTACCATGCACAGCTCTTACTATTTTAAGAGTAAAACTTAAAACATTTATCTTTTAAATTTTTATATATAAACAAGCTTTATGTATAGAAGACATTTTGTGTGTGAAGTCATTGAATAGCAGAGCTTATTCATGTATTACCTGGAACTCAAAGACTTCAAGAAACTCAACTACTTTATGAGCCAGTTCCTATGTCAAAACATGTCCCCCCAAGAAATTTTAAATAAATTAAGAGGAAATAATAAGCATTAAATTACAAAATAACACTGTACTATGACTCAGAATAATCACCTCTCTTCCTACATGTTAACTTCGAAGACCTACTTTCTTCAACTGTAATGAAAGGGTAAATTCAAAACACTTAAAGAATGTTTAATTAGGGCTGGGAAGATGGCTCAGTGGTAGAGCGCTTGCCTTGCATGCCTGAGGATCTGGGTTCGATTCCTCAGCACCATATAAGCAAAAAGAAAAAAGCCAGAAGTGGCACTGTGGCTCAAGTGGTAGAGCGCTAGCCTTGAGCTGAAGAGCTGAGCGATAGCACCCAGGGCCCAGCGTTCAGGCCCCATGATTGGACCCCCCCCAAAAAAAAGTGTTTAATTACATTGTTTGAAGGATCAAAGAATGTAGTATCTAGGACACTTTTCACACAAAAGAAGAGAGTAGGTCCTCTTGGAGAGTAATTACTCAACAAATGACCAGAAGGAAGGGTTTGGATAACTATGCAACTAAGTAATTGCCACCTACAGTCATATCCAGTTCAAAACTAGCACACAGAAATCAGAAAAGAATAATGTACACATGCACTTAGAAAGCAATGACTTCCTTTATTACTTGCATAGGCTCGCTCTACCCGACTGTGTGAAGAGTCAGGGTCATTTTCTAGTGAAGGCCTACTGAATTCCTGCCATGGTACCAATAAGACATTTTTAACAGGAACAGGGAATTAAAAGGCATTAATCCATGTTACCTTCAGCAAAACCTCCTAAACCTGGAAGGATAAGAACTTAAAATATTAAAAGAGCCTCTACCAACCCACAGATAAATAAGAAGTGGGTGCTTGCAAATGTAGGCTCTATGAGCCAGCTTTCCACAAAGCAGTCTGAGATGAAGGAATCAACTCAGAAGCCAAGCACTGCCTTAATTAACCCCAAGTGCTATTCCAAGAAGTAACAAGCTGGTCCTTTACCCCCCAGGAAAGGCAAGACACAAGACTTACACATCTTTGTATTCTTTGAGGACTCGGTTTGTATAAAACACTGCAGCATCATTCATTTCTTTCACATAGGGGGCAGGTTTGGGAGCCTGGAAAAGAAAGAAACTGACTCACAGCCTCTCCAGTCATATATCTATACCTATATCTATATCTATCTATCTATCTATCTATCTATTTATCTATCTTTTGTCAAGTCGTGGGACTTGAATTCAGGGCTTGGCCGCTGTCACTGAGCTCTTTCACTCAAGGTTAGTGCTCTACCACTTTGAGCCATAGCACCACTTCCAGTTTTCTGGTGGTTAACTAGAGATAAAAATCTCAAAGAGGGGCTGGGAAGGTGGCTCAGTGGTAGAGCACTTGCCTTGCATGCATGAGGCCCTGGGTTCGATTCCTCAGCACCACATAAGAAAAAAGCTGGAAGTGGCGCTGTGGCTCAAGTGATAGAGCGCTAGCCTTGAGCTGAAGAGCTGAGGGATAGCGCCCAGGCCCAGAGTTCAGGCCCCTCGACCAGACCCAAAACAAAAAAAACACAAAATAAACAAAACAAACAAACAAAAACCCTACACACACACACACACAAATAAATAAATAAATAAATAAATAAAAATAAAAAGACAAGAAAAGACAGAGGCTAACCAGGCACTGGTGGCTCACAACTATAATACTAGCTTCTCAGATAACTGTGATCTGAGGATCACGATTTGAAGCCAGCTCATCAGGAAAGTCTGAGAGACTCTGCTCTCCAATGAAGTATGACTCAAGTGGTAAAATCTAGCCTTGAGCAAAAATTCTATCCCTGTTCAAGTGCCACTACTAGGGAAATAGAGAAGGAGGGAGGAGAGAGGGAGGAAGGAAGGAAAGAAGTAAGGAGAAAGAAAAAAAAAAGAAAAAGAGAAAGAGAAGACAAAGGCTATATGTTAGTCAATTCTTATTCTGAAGTTAAGAATTATGTATGGAAGAAAATAAGCATAGAAAGAAATTTTGAATTTATCCTGCAAATTGCTGCTCATCTTCTCACCTCTATATAAAGTTCCAATTCCTTCAACTGATTAAAGTTCCAATTCCTTCAACTGATTTTTGTGGTTCCCCATGGTTAAGACCCATGGGGCTGGGAAGGTGGCTCAGTGGTAGAGCACTTGCCTTGCATGCTCGAGGCCCTGGGTTCGATTCCTCAGCACCACATAAGAAAAAAGCTGGAAGTGGCGCTGTGGCTCAAGTGGTAGAGCAGTAGCCTTGAGCTGAAGAGCTGAGGGACCGCGCCCAGGCCCAGAGTTCAGGCCCCACGACTGGACCCAAAAAAAAACCAAAAAAACAAAAAAGACCCATACGTCAGTTACACCACAAAATCCCACAATTTGAGCCACTTGTCTGGTTTCTGTCCCCCTAACAGGAAATACTAGTCTATTTCTGTACCTTTGCTTCGTATACTCCTTTTTGTAAATATTATAGGAAACTGTTATGACTGGCCCTCCAACCCCAGCCATACCAGTTTCCTATAACATGTACTGTCAGCATAACCAATTCTGGCATTTTATCAGGCAGCAGTACAAACTATTAATGGACCCACATGAGTGTTTTTTCTTTCTCATTAATTTTTCAAAGGCAAGGGCTTTGTCTTGCCTCTCCTTTGTCATCATTATAAGCGCTCAATGCATTGTTAGCCATATAGCAGCTGCTGAGTAGAGATCTGATTAATCAAATGCAATTATCAAGGCTGGCACTAAAGCAAGCAGCTCAGCAAAATGGATAAATCTCGTGTCTCTGTGTTTTTGATCCTTTCTTCAAAGCTTAGTTTTCTGACCATTTCAGTTCTCAGGCCTTAGCATGAAAAATGTAGCCAGGAATATGCCAACCTTTCTTCTTCAGTAAATGTTTGCTCCAGAAAAACTTAATTTACATAAATGGGTTGCAAACCAGATTTGGCTTGCAGGCTATGGTTTGCCAAGCTCTGGTCTAATACAAAAGAAAGGCAATAATGTCTCAGCAGCTTGAATTATGGGGAAAGAGTAGGTTTGGGGGAGGAAACAGATTTAGATAAAACACCCTAATAATTCTGGACAAACTAAAGATCAAACACTGATGTATTTAAATTATATTACATTGTTTGGGCATGCCAAGAATCAAGGGCTTTAATGCAGAATTACCAAGAAAAAATTTTATTATTCCTCTATGACTAAGAAAGCCTAATATTAGCATAAGAAACAAATCTTTTTTTTTGGGGGGGGGGTCGGGTCGTGGGGCCTGAACACTGGGCCTGGGCCCTTTCCCTCAGCTCTTCAGCTCAAGGCTAGCAGTCTACCACTTGAGTCACAGAGCCACTTCCGGCTTTTTTCTGCTTATGTGGTGCTGAGGAATTGAACCCAGGGCCTCAGGCATACAAGGCAAGCGCTCTACCACTGAGCCAACTTCCCAGCCCCAAGAAACAAATCTTTTATTGTGAAAAAAAATCTAAATTTTCTGTAATCCAACTTTTCATACCTTGCTGCAAAAAAATGTTTAATTAGTTAAAGGGAGGGGAGTTAAAAGTTGAAGGAAGATTCCATTCTTTAGGCATTTTAGGATTTCCATAGCTGTTTTTTGCAGGAAGGAGCAAAGTCCCAATGGTAACTAAGGACCTAAGCTAAATGACAGAAGGGAAAAAAGGCTACTGGAGACCAATCAACACTCAAAGCACATTCATTCCCATGAAGACACTGTAAGTCTCCTCTAACCCTGAGACTTGGCATCAATGTACATAATCATGAGCCTGTTCCATTTTAATATGTTGTGACAGTTCGGTGGAAGTTTCTCAGCTTATTGCTGTCACCAGACCAAAACTACACCATCTATCAGTCAACTTACATTGGCGGGCTGCTGGCACTGAGAAGCTGTAACTAGGAGAGCTCGTTCCAACTTCAGGCCTGTATGGACCATCTCCGCCTGAGAGAAAAAAGCAGAATCAGCTATCCATGACACATTACAACTGGAGAGGTCCTGATAAGAATAACTTGAAACCTCCATGCCGGTGTACTCTGGTAGCACCCAGGCACTTGTGGTGTTTTTCTGATGGAATTAAGATTCCAGGGACTGATACCATAATCACATATACTATTGTTCCTAATGGAACTAAGCAGGGATGAATTAGAGTTAGAAATAAAAGATAATTAGGGCTTAGGGGAAGTCAGGTTAGCATTCACATGAAGTGACCTTTTTTTTTTTTTAAAGCAGTGTTGGAATACAGACAAGTCTAGTTTCCTATCCACAACAACAAACTGGTTTTCTGTAACACTAGAAGTAAAGGCAAAAGTCGAAATTTAGGCCTAAAATTCTCAACGTATTTCACTTTTTTAGATTAGAGCTATTTCTCAAATGCTGGATCATGTAGATTATTAAATAAATTTAGTAACCTCTAACTAGAATTTGGTCATGGTGACAATGTAAGAGGCAGTGCATGAAGGGAGGTGGGTGGACAGGCACCTGTCACCGCCTACTTCATACTGCAGTGGGCTAAGTGTGAAAATAATCCATATTAGCATAGTTAATAACTATCAAGCCAAATTTTATAAATGTTAAGCAATGACAATGATTCCTTTCAATAGGTCACCCTTGGCTTGGTTATATAACATGTTGGGATCAAACTAGTAGCATATTCTTTACCACTAAGATGTTTGACAGCCTTATTTTTTGCATAAAAGAATCACATATAAGCCGGGCGCTGGTGGCTCACGCCTGTAATCCTAGCTACTCAGGAGGCTGAGATCTGAGGATCGAGGTTCAAAGCCAGCCCGGGCAGGAAAGACCGTGAGACTCCTATCTCCAATAAACCACCAGAAAACCGGAAGTGGCGCTGTAGCTCAAGTGGTAGAGCGCTTGCCTTGAGCTTAAGAGCTGAGGGACAGTGCCCAGGCCCAGAGTTCAAGCCCCACAGCCGACCAAAAAAAAAAAAAAAGAATCACATATAGGATATAATAAAAGCAGGGGACCTAGAAAAACAAAGACTCCCTCCACCTTTTTTGCCAGTCAGGGCAAAAACTCAGGGCCTGGGCACTGTCCCTGAGCCTTTTTGTGCTCAAGGCTAGCACTCTACCATGTGAGCCACAGTACCACTTCCGGCCTTTTCTGTTTATGTGGTACTGAGAAATCAAACTCAGGGTTTCATGCGTGCTGGCAAGCACTCTACCACTAAGCCACAGTCTCACTTCACAAAGACCCATTTTTATGCCCTGATTGTGCTCCTTAGTGCAGTGTAGGTAGAGCAAAAAAGTCAGAAACCTCTTTAAAAGATTTTTAATCAAGAATAAATGAGACTGAAGAAAGCCTTCACTCCTTAGAAGCAGGAAGCAGCAACTTACATGTTTCTGCACATCTCCTCCGATCTCTTTACTGATCTTCAAGTACTCTGCCACAGGACCAGCAAGCAGGGAGTCAAAGGCTTGCACATATGGAGCTGTTCCTAAAGAGGCACATCAGAAGGAAAACAAAAAACAAAAAAAGCAGTCATGCACTGGACAATCTTCTTTTTTTATTTGGTGCCAGTCCTGGGGCTTAACCTCAGGGCCTGGGCACTGTCCCCGAGCTTCTTTTGCTCAAGGCTAGCACTCTACCACTTGGGCCACAGTGCCACTTTTGGCTTTTTCTGTTTTTGCGGTACTGAAGAATTGAACCTAGGGCTTCATGCATGGTAGGCAAGCACTCTACCACTAAGCCACATTCCCAGCCTGGACAACGTCTTTAAAGTACACTTCCATGTAAAAATGGGAGGCAAGGGAATACAGCACCCAGAATAATGGACACCAGGGTCTACTTCCAATACCAACACTAACTGGTTATATGACCTTTTTCCCCACCGAGCTTAATTTCTATTGATCCTCCAAGATTCCTTTTAGTTCTAACATTTTATGTTTTGATTAATACATGTACAAAATGGCTGTCTTGTCCGTCATTAGGAAAGGAAATTCTAACTTGTCACTTGACTTCAACTGGAAAATTTCAGAACAGGAAATATCACACAACAGGAAGTTCTTGTGTTAAAATAACTTACCCGCAGGCCTCTCTATGCAAGTCACTTCCTTATCTGTTCTGTTACTTTTTTATCTGTTTTGGAGCTGGGACCCAGCTCCAAAAGAGAAACTTCACCATGATTAAAGAAATAAGGCCAAGCCAGGTGCCAGTAGCTCACGCCTGTAATCCTAGCTATTCAGGAGGCCGAGATCTGAGGATCATGGTTCAAAGCCAGCCTGGGCAGAAAAGACCATGAGACTAATCTCCAATTAACTACCAGAAAACTGGAAGTGGTGCTGGCTCAAGTGGTAGAACACTAGCTTGAGCTGAAGAACTCAGGGACAGCGCCCAGACCCAGAGTTCAAGCCCCACAACTGACAAAAGAAAAGGAAATAAGGCCAAGACACTCTATAGGCATTATTGGGCTGTGGACTGCTTACCTTTTGAAGGATTGTCTCCATACCCACGGTGCATGTCAGAGGTATGGGATACTGCTTCCAGGCGGCCCACTGCCCTCTCCAGTCTTTCTACAAGATTTTGCATATCAGCCATTATGTACAACCTGCTGAACAGATCAAATGTTATTTGCTATTTTAATATTACACACAACACCTACATAGGACTAGAGAGGATGCCAATTCTGTGGAACAGAATTTAATAATAAAACGGAAAAGTAGTCTAGCTAATTTGCAAAATCATACAGATCTCATTAAACCAAAGATCTACTCAGGAAAAGGTGTTCACTAAAGCAAATCTTATACAAATACTTACTGAACATTTATTACACAGTAACAAATATTTGTGTAGGAATTTAGAATTTACAAACTATGGTCAGAAATTTCTTCCAACTATTCAGGAATCAAAGATAATGACATTTGTTTTTCAGTAATACAAAATAGAACCTGCATCTCCATGAATGCTAAGCAAGTACTCTATCACTGAGCTATATACCATCCCATGAATATATTCTTTTTTTTGTGGGGGGGAGGGAGGGTCCAGTCATGGGCCTGAACTCTGGGTCTGGGCGCTGTCCCTCAGCTCTTCAGCTCAATGCTAGCACTCTACCACTTGAGCCACAGCGCCACTTCCAGCTTTTTTTTCTGCTTATGTGGTGCTGAGGAATCGAACCCAGGGCCTCATGCATGCAAGGCAAGCGCTCTACCAGTGAGCCACCTTCCCAGCCCTGAATATATTATTAAAGATAAAAAACTTAATTTCAATGATATTAAATAATTGCCTATAGTTAACAGAGAATTCAGTACTTAATTCAGGTCTGGCTTTAAGTTCACTTTGGTTCTTCCCAGCCCAACTTGCCTGCAACAGGAAGCCTCAAAGCAAAATAAATAGGTTACTTACCCTGCCCTGACCTCAATTATTTATAGTCTAATGGGAGAGAAGGGGCAACATGTACACACCAACAACTTACACACACCACCTATAACATAAAAGAGGAAAACTTTAAAGTGATCTAAGAAAGCTGCAGATAATGGCATGCGGTTTCAGAAAGGGGAAGAGTATATCTGCTGGAAGGATCAGATAAGGACATCTTGGAGAAGCTGCCACCTGAGCCATACTTCAAATGAGGATGGGTAGGACCTAAACACCAGAAGACTAGAAGGAGACCAGATATATCCTAAAGGGGTTGTTACAGATCTTTCTCAAGTACTAATTCATCTGAACTGCATTCACTGTATAAAGTCCTAAAGAAAAGTAAGCTTGAGAGAAAAGGACCTTATCTAATCTGTTTCTTGTTATACTCTACTATGTAGACCTCTACCTGATAGGTGGGAGGTGGTCAATTAGTATTTAAAGTTAACGAACCAAAAATATATAGTATTTGAAAATTCTACAGGGAGTTCTGAAAGCTATTAATACTATACATACAAGTGTAAAATGTTACCAACATACATCTATATAAAGTATGAGCAATGAGTGATTTATAAAAATCACTTATTATAACTGAAAGCCTTGGATTAGATTCCATTTAGAATCCATAAAAAGGGACTGGAGCTGTGGCTCAAGCACAAGGCTTTAAGTTCTATCCTCAGTACAGCAAAAACATATTGATTAAATGTACCTAATATTTGGGGCTGGGAAGGTGGCTCAGTGGTAGAGTGTTTGCCTTGCATGCATGAGGCCCTCCCTGGGTTTGATTCCTCAGCACTACATAAGCAGAAAAGGCTGGAAGTGTAGCTCAAGTGGTAAAGCACTATCTTTGAGCTGAAGAGCTGAGGGACAGCACCCAGGCCCAGAGTTCAGGCCCCAGGACTGGCCAAAAAAAAAAAGTATCTAATATTGGATTGGGAATGTGGCTTAGTGGTACAGTGCTTGCCTAGCATGCATGAAGCCCTGGGTTCAATTCTTCAGTACTACATAAACAGAAAAGGCTGGAAGTAGCACTATGGCTCAAGTTGTAGAGTGCTAGCTCTCAGGGACAGTGCCCAGAATGCTTTCTTGAATGCTTAAAAAATTTTAAGCATTCAAGAAAAATACAAGAATAAGAACCCAATCAGCTTTCCTATTCCCTTGAATGGAAGTAAGCAGCAGCCTATGGACTCACTCACAAAAATAGAGAAGCCTTCCCTTATGTTATGTAGGATCATTATTAGTATCCACATTGCTGCCATGTTTCATTCTGGGAACTGACCAGAGACAGACTCCAAAAAATCCAAGGGGGAAGGCAAGTGATATAGTTACCTTTCATGATGTATAGATACCCAGTTCTGTTACAAAATGTGTTCCTTCATACACAATTAAGACCAGTGTTGTATGGCAATACAAGTTGTATAGGTTGTATAAGTTGCCAGGGTTCTGAACACTTACCTGTTTTTGTTTTGTTTTTTGGTGGTGGTACTAAGGCTTGAATTAAGGGCTTGTGCTTGCTAGGCTCTACCACTTGAGCCATACACCCCCAATAATTTTTTGCGTCAATTATTTTTTGGATAGGTTTTTGTGCTTTTTGCTTGAACTGGACTTGGGATTGCAATCTCCATCTCCACCTTCTATTTATAGATATGTTCCATCATCCCTGGCTTACCAATCTTACATTTCACTTGTGCTTATAGACTCTCACTACTGAACAAGCTACAGTTCTGAGGTCTGAATTAAGCAGAATGAGGTTAAGTGTCATTCTATCTCAAACCAAATATAGAACAAAACCTGTCCTTTTGTTTTGTGGTGAAGGTAGAATGAGATTGGATATATCATTGGAAAGAATGTACTGAAAGACACACCTCTGGGGCTGGGAAGGTGGCTCAGTGGTGAAAGACACACCTCTTTCTCACCCTCTACACACATACACATACTCTTTAGGTAATGAAGTTCACTCCTCCCAAGATTTAGCTACCATTACTGTAGTAACACCCAGCCCACTTTCAGATGGTACCACTGCAACCACTTATAGTCTAGAGACTCCTGAAGTAGCATATCCAGCTCAAACTATTCTTCCAGAATTCTGAATCTTTTTTTTTTTTTTGTCG